CACCCACCCCCCACCCCGAGGCAGAGTCAAGGGCGAGGGCAAGTACGCTTGACTCACTACATCCGTAGCAGCAACAAGGACAACATGACACACAAGACCGGGTCGTGCATGGTGGCAGGGCTGTTGGTGGCCGTGGTGGCGGTGACTATGCTGGCTGGACCGGTGGTCGGGCAGCACGCGCATTGCTCCATGACGGTGACTTGGGCTGGTACTGGGTGTGCGACTGCATACGGACTGATCAAGGACGAACTGACGGTGTTCAACCATCCAGAGCTGGGCGAGCACAACTACACGCTGGTGTCGGCCGATCCTACCCCGCCGCAGTCGCTGACCGGCCATCACACCTCGCCTGTCCATCACTATGTCGACGATCTCTCCTTCAAGTTCTCTGCTCATGGCTCCGGCTCGGGTTGTGTCATGGACGGCTCCTCGCACTCGACGCCCGTCTCGGTTTACGACTACGATACTAACTTTTGCAACATGTGGAACCTGGTCCGCTTTGGTCCGTCCTTTGACTACTCGGTCTCCGACTGCCTCTTCCATCCCGCAAAGGGCGAGGAGGCTGCAAAGTGCAACAAGTACTGATCGCTCCATGCAGCCATCCGCTCGCACCTTGCTGATCTCTCTCTCACACACTCACTCTCTCTCTATCTCTCACTCAAGCACATATGCACCGATTTCTCATCTGGTCACATTAAAAACAGTCTTCAGCCACAAGGCGCCACAGCGACTCGTCGCATCTGCCACGCGCGGCGCTGCACCTGAACCGATCGATCGACCCGGAAACCCACCATACTCATCTCCACGCTCTCGCACACATGGCTGCCGAGCAGGCTCCGTCTGGCGACCTCGGCCTTGACTCCATCCGCCCGCTCGTCTCGGCCGCCGCTGACTCGACGCCGCTGCTCAGGGGTGTCTCGCCCCGAACCTGCTGATGGGCATGCTGATGCTCACCGCCGCCGCCGGGCCGGGCTCAGAGACCGAGGCCGAGCTGAAGCGTGTGTTTCGAATGGAGAACCCGGGCCCACAGCTGCAGGCTCTCGTAGCCGCCATGGATGACGCTGCCGCTGCTGACCCGGATGTGGCGCTCTCGTCGTCGCTGGCGGTCTTTTGCCGCGGTGAGCTCGCGCAGGGCTTCAGGTCGGCGTGCGGCCCGCGGGTGGCGTGCAAGGCCATGCCGTCCAGCGCAGCGGGGATCAACGCCTGGGTTCGCGACGCGTCGAGTGGGCTCATCACAAGCATCATCGACAGGATTGACTCGACCCATGTCGCCATCCTGCTGGCGGTCACTGCGCTCACTGCGCCATGGGCCCGTCCCTTTGATCCGGAGCTCACCACCGCCGCTAGCTTTGCCACCGCGCCCGATGCCTCGGTACCGTGCGCCATGATGCATGCCAAGCGGAAGTCGGTCGGTGACGACATCGGACTTGTTGAGCTTCGCAATTGTCGCGGCGTGACGCTGCCGTACGGATCGGGCCGGTTTCTCGGCATCTTCCTCCTCCCCGGTGCCAGTGAGGTCGAGCCGCCGTCGGCCTCGGCTGCGCTTGCGCTCGCCGACTGGCTTGTCGGCGTCGACGCCGGCCTCTCTGAAGTCCTTGCCGCTCGCCGCCGGCGAAAGGTCAGTGTCGCGCTTGCCATTCCGCGGTTTACGGTCGAGGCGACAACGGGGCTCGTGCCCATCCTCAAGGAGCTCGGCGTCCGCACCGCCTTTGACTTTACCACCGCCGATCTATCTGCGCTCTCCGTGACTCCTGGCATTGCCGTCACTAACATCATCCACAAGGTGGTGATCAAGGTCGATGAGGCCGGCACGCGCGCTGCCGCCGCAACCGCTACAGCTGTCAAGTCTCGCAAGCGGGTCCAACTCTTTACCTTTACCGCCGATCGCCCGTTTGTGTTTGCTGTCGTTGATACTGTTACCACGATGGTGCTCTTTGCCTCGGCCGTTCTCTCGGCTGCCCAAGACTAGCCATGCAGGTCGGCGATGACTGGCTGCGCGAGCGCGACGAGCGCCGCAAAGACCGGGCTCGATGCAGTAGCGATAGACTCACCAGTCTCTGCGTCGTCGGCCGCAAGGTCGACAATGGCATCCGAAAGTGTGTAGGCAACCACGTCATCATTTCCTGCATCCGAGCCAAGCTTACCGCGCGCGGATTGGGCCCGGGCCGGCGTGAGGTACAGCTGCAGCTCGTAGAAGATGTTCTGCGCGTCAGCCGCAGCGCTGCTGCTACCGTCGGCCGCCACCATCATCGACTTGTGTGCCCGACCCGAGGCTTCGACATCGGCAAACGACGGATCCTTGATCTTGACCAGGAACCGGTCGTCGGTCGTTGCCGGGCGGAGCACAATACCCTCGGCGGTGTTGGCACCTGCCGGCGGCAGCGGCTCCAGCCCGAGCAGCGCCGGCCAGTGCGAGTCAAAGCCAATCGGGGTGTCGAGCAACTTGGTGTAGCTCCCACGCGCCACCTCGTGCACAACGGTAAAGCCAGCGGCGGTCGCAACCGCTGTCATCTCGTCGTGTGCCAGGAAGCGGCGGTCGCCATCAGCGGCGAGCAGCGCCACGTCAAACACCGCAAACTGCAGTTGTGGCCCGTAGTCGATGCCGGGCTGGACATCAGCACCAAACAGCTCGCCCGAGACTGCAATTGACGTCCCGCTACCCGCGCCCAGTGCCTGAGCAAGCTCGATGGCCGGCCGAGCCAGGGAGGCAAGCAGGCCGCTCGACCGCAGGCCGAAGAAGTCCTCGTCGTCGGCCAGCACCCCGCGCCGCTTGGCTGGTACCACAACTTGGCCGTCGCACATCAGCGTCAGGTTGGCGCCATGTATCTTCTCCGTCGCCACCCACTCGATCGTCCGCACCCGGCGCGCATCGTCGGCCGATCCGCTAAACGCGGTGGGAATCTTGGGATACGGCACAAACGCCGCCGCCACCGCTTCGCTTCGCGGTTCCAGCGACAGAACGGAACGAACTCTCTCGAGAACTGCGTCGAGGACCAGTGTTCCTGAACACCATGCCCTCCATCTTGATCTGCCATGACGTGTCGTGTTGAGTCGAGTGCGATCTCGTCGCCATCCGCAAGCTGGAAGCTGGGGAATGGACACGGGCATCATCCGTGGTCCCCCCCCCCTCCCCCCGCCTGTGTCTTGCTCGGCTTCTTTTGTGTTCGGATGACACGCATGGAATGCCCGCGCCATGGACCAACAAATTCGCAAGAGGCCGAGACCACGAGACCAGGCACAAGTTACCTGCCGTATCGAGCCTGATCCCCGGCCCCGTTCCCACCCGCAGCCACTCGCACCATCGGCCACGTCCACGTCCACGACGCGACTCCTCTCTCTCTCCCCTCCCCCTTTTTGTCCGTCTCTCTCATGCGCGACCTCCGACTGGAGTTTGTCTTTCCCTGCACGGTAGAGACCTTTGCCGAGCTCGTGTTTGGCGGCGACGGCTTTGCCCGCGCCTTCCATACCGCCATCAGCAACCACTCGCTGGCGGTGGGTGGGTGGCGCCCGCCACCAGCCGACGTGCCCACTGGCCAGTCGATGCGCCTTCTGGAGTATGCCTCGCCCATCCAGGCTCCTGCGCTGCTGCAGGCCTACCTCGGCTCTGCCACTGCTGTTGTTGAGACCCAGGTGTACTCGTGGCGTGCCGCTGGGCGGCCTGACGCCGCTCTCCCGGAGGAGCCCTGGCCGCTCGCCGGCACTAACGTGGCCGACGGACGACTCCCGCCTGACGGCTGCGCTGCGCTGCAGGCCGACGATGAGGCAGCGGGGATCGAGTTGCCGCCAGAGCTGGAGGCCTTTCGTGTCGACGTCGTCAACCGCTTCCGTGGTGCAATCGGGCCTTACATCACCTCGGAGGGATGCTACCTTGCCGAGCCAGTGTCGGACGCGTCTGACGCGCCAGCAACGCGCTGCACCATCACCGCCCGTGTGGGCTGGGCCGGCTCGTTTGTTGTCCAGTCGCCAATGGAGCGGTACATGCTTTCGTCGGCGGCCGAAGCCTTCCGGATCTGGGGCGACGTCGCCGCCGACTACGTCGCCACCCAGCTCGCTGCGGACACCGCCACTGACGGCGGCGACGCCAGCCGGGACGAGGTCACCGCCAGTGAGAACGCTGCAGAGTGCGACGACGCCGCAGCTGATGCACACGCAGCACAGGCAGAAGCTGCAAAGGCAGAGGAGATCCAATTCCTCATGCGCCGGCTCGCTGCGCTCGGGCGCGGCATCGACGGCCTCGACGATGCACTGGATCGGCTGACGCTCAAGCTGGAGTACGCGTAGCGGTACGATTTGGTGTCTAGAGTGTATGTTACGGGTTTTCGGCGCCACGTCCTGTGCAGCGTCTTCAGTAAGGGTACGTGCGGGCAGTCTACCAGAGCCACGAGCCAACGCGCGAGAGCAGCGAATTGACCTTGGACGCCTGCTGCCGCTCGCGGCGCTCACGGGCCCGGCGGCGGCCGGCCAGTGTGTGGTCACCCGAGTTGTTGACGACGGTAAACTTGGAAGCCACAAACTTCTCGTCGGACGCGTACGCCGGCATCGAGTTCTCCTTGCCGGCCACGGCACCGCCGCTCATGATGCGGACGGTCTCGAGGCCCTGCGACTCGTCGCCGAGCACCGCCGCGTGGTACCCGATCGCCTCGAGCGCAGCCACAATGTCCTCGGGTGCGCCCCTTGTGCGAACCACCGCCGTCTTGGCCGCCACGTTCATGGTGAACGAGATGATACCCTGCAGCTGCAGGAGCTTGCGCTCGATGAGCGACCGGTTGTTGTGCGAGAGGCCCTCGATCGAGAGCGTGTATGCCGCCGACCGCGGCACCGCCGGTCGACCGGCAGTCTTGGTCGCAGCCTTGGACGCAGTCTTAGCGTTGGCCGGTGAGTTGAGCCGCGAAGGTGCCACCGGCGTGAGCGGCGGCGGGCCGTCGTTCTCTACAAGCTCGGGCGGACCGTCGTCGTCGTCGTCCGACTCATACTCGGACTCGGCGTCCGACTCGTCTGCAGCGGCATTAGCCGCAGCACCAGCCGAGAGCGGGGCAGCGAGGCCCAGAGCCACCATGATCTCGCCAGAGAGCTTGATGATGGGTGCGGTGGTGCCCTCGCGAGTGGTCCACGCCGCAATGGCCTCGACCAGGCCGTCCCACGTCTTGATGGGCTGGATGTTGGCCGGATGCTGTGCAAGATTGAACAGCGTCTGCATGGCTGCCGCCACCACACTCGCATCGTCGACGTGCAAGAAGGTGACCAGCGCGGGGAGGCAGTTCTGCTTGTGGACCATAAACTCGCGGTTGGCCGGTTCGGCCGACAGGGTCCGGAACTGGTTGACAATGCCGCCCATCTCCATCTGCTCCCCCACTCCCGACACACACACGCGCAGGCACGCCCATACACACTCACCATGAGTCACTCGCGCGAGTCATGACAACCATCCATAGGCGCATGCACCTCCCCACGCTGCGGGTTCTCCCTGTTCTTCCACGAAGCCTTCTCCCCTCCCCCCCCCCCCCCCCCACCCCACTTTCCGTCCCTGTCTTGGCGCCACTCCCGCCTTCGGTGGCTAAAACATTTGAAATTTGCGAGCTAACGGCAGTGGCTCCCTTCCCCCGCTCCGCTTGGTGCCCATACAGTCACGGGTGACGATGGGGGAGGGGATAGGGAAGTGGAGACAGTAGTTGGTGGGAGTATGGGAAGGGAGTGGGGAGAGGAGGAGGGGGGGGGAGGGGGGGATGGGCATCATGTGTTACTTACCTTGGGCAGTGTTGAGAGAAGCGTCTGGCGGGGTGGTGCCTGGCCGTCCGCGTCACAAGTTGTGCGAGCCGAGCACTGTGCGGCTGACGGGGCAGATGGTCGCCGACTCCCGAGTCCCGCTGAGATCCATGGCTTTGATTGCAGACAGTGGCGCGTCAAACGGGTATGACTTGCCCCACTGTAGGCATTGCTGTGGTGGGGCATGCTGGTTTTATGTTGCAGTAGCTGCAACGGCGCTGCAATTGGCGACACCAGACTCACAGTGAGTCAACACCGGCGTACACGACCATACCAAAGGCATCGGCGACAAGGGAGGAGAGCACAGCAGCTGCGAGTGCGGCGGCGCCAAAGAAAAAGCAGCAGCACATCCAGGTGAGCGAGATGCAGGCCTCGCCTGCGTGACTGCGGCCGCCGCCGAGGCAAGCCGCCACAAGCTCGGCGATCCGGGCTAGGCTCCGCCAGACCGGGCGGAGCGGAAGCTGCTGCGTCGCCAGGCCTGCAGCGACAAAAAAGTTGAGCACAGCCTTGCTCAAAACTGCCAGGATAAGCAGCTCCAGTGCGGCAATGCCAAAGGTGGCGCCGACAAAGCCGAGTCGCAGCTCGTGTCGCGATGGCGTGTGCGGCTCGCCGAGAGAGCTCGGTCCGCAGAGGAGCGTGCCCTCGTGGCGGCAATAGGCATCGATGCGAACGTTGACGGTGATGCAGAGAAAGAGTGCAGCGCCGATGCGAAGCACCGCCATGCCCGGGAACGAGACCAGAGCAAGCTGGGCCAGCACCTCTCGTCCGGACGCAAAACTGGCCACCACCGCGGCAATGAGCAGAGCATGAGCCGCACCCACAAGCAGGCTTACCATTGACCAGAGGAAGCTATCAAACAGCGCCACCACCAGGATCCAAAGCATGATGAGCGAGACGGCCCATGCCACCAGCAGCAGCAGCGCCGTCTTGCGGAGCCCGGGCAAGCGCGCCTCGTCGACATCAGCGTCATCACCGGCTGCCTCGCCCGTCTCTGCGTCTTCGCCATTTCCAGCTGCCGCATCTCCGCTCCTTGCCAACGCCCGCACCAGCTTTGTGTTGAATCGCTCGCCAGCAGCTGGCGTCGATGGCAGCGGGCTTTTGGCGCGCGTCCGCTTTGTCCGCCGCTCGCCGCGCCCGGGCGGCACGCCGGCCGCCTGTCCGCCAACATGCTGCAAGCCAGGCGAGCCAGGCGGCGGCTGTAGCGGCGAGGCCCTCCTTCCATATGAAGACTCGCTTTGTGACGCCTTGCGGCCTGGCAAGCGCAGAGGCGAGGCGGCGCTGCCTGACCGTGTCCCGCCGGTACGCCCCCGACAGCCCTCGTCCGACTCGTCCGAGAGGGCGGACATGGCAATGTCGACCTCGTCCACATACACCACCGAGTACGAGTAGTCGTACGACAGCTCTGACGAGACAAACGAGACTGCTCGCCCGCTCATTCCCTCTGATCGCTCGGCTTTCCACTTCCGCAAGTCAGGTATCCCACCACCCGCCCTTGGTCCGTCACAACCACCAGCACTCACAGCACAGCGGACCGGTGACGGAAGGAACCCAGAAGAACCAGACCCATCTCGCTCTTTTCTCATCCTCTCGCATACTCCCTCTCCTCCCTCAACTCTCCGCCTCGCCTCACCTCGCCTCGCCTAAGCCTGAGCCTGGGCTCTGTCTGTGCGGCAGACCCGGCCATGGACGAACTGCCGCTCTACCCGCTCCATGCCCCGCTGCTCGACCGCCCACAGACGGCCGCAAGCGACAGTGTGGCAGCGGCAGCAGCGGATCTGGCGGCGCTGGCAAATGCCCGATCGGCCGCGGCTGCAGCTCGTCCTCCGGTACCGTCACCGGTACCGTCACCGGAGCGAGGACCGCCATCGCTTCCGCGGCACAACGTGCCGCTCGACAATGGCATCCTTCAGGTGCTTGCGGCCGAAGACGCCGCATGGGAGGTAGTTACCCAACTGCAGGCTGCTGCTTCGCCGGAAGATGCGCTGGACACGGCCATCGCTCGCCGCGGCGTCGACATCCCTTCCGGCTCACCGCCGAGGCGCCGCTCTCCCGGCACTCGTCGACGTCGATCGCGTTCGTCGCAGCGTAGGCTGACCGAGCGGTATGTGGCGGCAGTCGAGCTGCTGGTCGACTCGGTTCGCGGTCTCGTAGTCCGCAAGCGCAAGGTTCGGCCAGGCGGAAGCTCGCCATGTCGGCCAGCGCCACGCCGCTCGCCGCCGTTTGAGTGGGACGCCCATCGCAACGACGACCTCCCGCCTCTTCCCGGTGCAGGCGAGCCGCTCCCGCCTCCACCGGCCGAGCCTACGCTCCCATTGCCTGCTCCTCTTGTCGAGCCCTCGTCGGACCACACTGCTGTGGCTGACGACCTCACAGTTCCTGCGTTTACCCGTGCTCGCGATCCGCCTCTCGCGGACCCGCGTCCGCCCCCTGCCAGCAACAGCGAGACATGGCCATCTACTACCGACCCGTCGACGTCCCTGGCGATTGATGGGCCCGAGGCATGGCCTTCGGCAGATGACGATGATGTTCCGCAGCTGTGGGACTCTGCAGCGTCGGTCGAGTCGCAATGAACGCTAGCCGCGGCGTCCGCGCAAGTCGCCCTTGCCCGATACGGTGGCCGAGGCGGCGGCATCAGCGCCTGCGCCATCGGTGGATGTCGGGGGTGTCACCGGCGGTGCTGTCGGTGGCTGGCCAAGGAGCTCGCGCTCCTTGGCATCAAGCTCGTCGACGGCCTGGCGGATGGCATGCGCGCGGGCGGAGGAGCGGGCAGCGGCAAAGACCGAGTCGATACCCTCCTCCAGCCTGCGCTCCTCAACCTTCATGCGCTCGGTGACGGTCTCCATCTCGCGGCCCATGGCTGTAAACTGCGCCACCATGGCGCCCTTCATCTCCTCCACCTGGGCCCGAGCCGCCTTGGCCTCGGCCAGCCGCCGCATGCTCTCTTCCCGCTGCACCGCCAGCTGTGCCTCCTCCTCCCGCCCATATTTGCGGTACCGCGACACAAGCTGCCGGATTCCGCGCCACATCCTTCGTCTTGCCCAAGAGAGCCGTGTGTACGTCTGCTTGGGCGTTCTCCCGCGAGGTACGGCACCGCCACGGCCGCCGCTCACCCGGGACCCGGGGCCCACCTACCCCCAGCCCCGTCCCGGGCACGGCAACCACAGATCAACAAGTTTAACAATACCTCGCACTCGCTGACGCTCATCTAGCCCGGTCTTGATCTTGGCCATTCCGGCTCGACGTTTGTCGTGGTCGTCTCTACCATGCCACCGGGCGTGACGGTCCAGCCCTCAATCGACGCGACATGCACGTCGGCCAGGCGCCAGTTGCGGCAGCCGCTCGGCAGGCACGTGATCGCCCCGGCGCGACCGATTCCGTCCAGCTGGAGGTTGCGGAGCGTGACACTGGCAAAGATCGGAGCGGGGAGGCTTGCGTTCGCTGCTCCGCACTCGTATGCCATGTCGACAAACAAGCCGTCGAGCAGCCCGATGCCGACCACCCCGTCGTAGGTCACGTTAGTCATTCCGCGGCCATACGTCGGGCACGTCTTGAAGCGAACAGCGCTCTGCGACGCATCGAGAGTTGCGTTGGACACCACTACGTCCGCGATGCCGCCGCCGGTCTCGGAGCCGATGGCGATGCCGGCGCCGTGATGAAAGATATTGTCGGCAATGAGCACCCGCTCTGTCGGCACGCCCCACGCGTACCCCTCCCAGCCCTTGCCGGCTTTGAGCGAGATGTGGTCATCGCCGGAGCTTATGGTGCACCTCGTGATGCGCACGTCCGACGAAGAATCTGGGTCGATGCCGTCGGTGTTGGGCGAGCCGAGCGGCGCGTCGATGCGGACCCGGTCGACAACTACTCCGCGGCACATGTATGGATGGATGTGGTAGTACGGTGAGTCCTTGAGCTCGAGCTCGGTGATCCGCACACCGACGCCACCCACTATCTCGATGAGCGGCGGCCGCTGCATGCTCAACTCGTGCTTCCGGACCGCACGCCACCACATCTCTCCGCGCCCGTCGATCCGCCCGCCGCCGCTAATGCTCACATTGACCACATCATACCCAGCAATAAGCGCCTGATACCGCGGCTGCGAGTTGTGGTCACGCGAGAGCGGATACGACGGTAGCGCGTCGACCAAAGGCCACCCAGCCACGCTCGCTGCGCCCATCAGCACCGCCCCGGTCTCGACCCGGAGCTCCGTGTTCGAACTCAAGTTCACCCCGCGCGCCACAAACACGCCGCCAAATGGCAGCACCACCACATCACATGCCGCGCACGCCAGCGCCTCCTGAATCGGCCCAGTGTCGTCCGTCTTGCCGTCGCCTCGCGCCCCAAACGCCACCACTGAGCAAACCGCATGCGCAGGCGTGCTTGCACACCTTTGGCCTGTCCCTGACACCACCACCGCCAGCAGCACAGTCGCAACCACCAGAAACATCTGCATCTCTAGCCAATACGCCATTCCACCAGCCGTACGAGAGCCACGGCCGCTACTCGCGACAGGTGGCCTCTCGCTTTTAGCCCGCCAAACGTTGCTTCGACCAGCACTAGACCCGGCACATGCGCTATATGTCACCATGCCACCCCCACATGCTACGAAACGTTGCCAATATCAATACCGCGTCCAGTCTGACTCTGCAGCTCTCTTTGTCGCTCGCTCTCACACTCACTCCTCACCACTTTCGACTGCTTCCACACACACGCACACACACGCACACACACACACACGCTCACACATACGTGCACGTTCACCACGGCCATGCTTCCAGTCTTTGTTGTGACGGTGCTCGCTCTGCTGGTGGCACTCTCTGGATGTGCGGCGAGTGCGAATCCGCTGATGGCTGAAAAGGCGGCGCTCGACGCACTGTTCGTCACCACTCACGGGAGTTCCTGGCTTGAGGCAAGCGGGTGGAACGGGCCGGACGTGTGCATGTATGCCGGCGTGCGGTGCGGGAACGCAACGACCGACGACGGCGCTGTCCACGTTGTCGAGCTGCGCCTCTCGAACAACGGGCTGACCGGAAGCCTGCCGAGCGAGGCCGCAGCGTGGGCTCTTCCCGAGCTGCTCGTCCTCGACCTCTCGGCCAACCGGATGGAGGGCACGCTGCCAGGCGTGTGGGCGAGCGCCATGCCCAAGCTGGTCGAAATCAACGTCGGCGGCGAGGCGCTACCGGACGAGGCCATCTGGGCGTCGATGTCGCTCATTGCAAAGTACTTTTTCCACACCAAGGTGTACTCATCGAACCTGCTGACCGGGCCGCTCCCGCCCGAGTGGGGCTCGCTCTCCTCGCTCCGCCGGCTTGTCCTCACCACCGGTGGCCCTGCGTCGGGTGCTGGCCTGGAAGGTAACTTTCCGCCGTCGTGGAGCGGCATGACATCGCTCAAGGTTGTCTTTGCCTCGCAATCAGGCCTCGGCGGCTCGCCGCTCTCGAGCGTCCTCGCCCGCATCGTCGGCATCGAGGAGGTCATCGTCCGCGACTGCGCCTTTACTGGCCTTCCCGAAGAGTACAAGGACTCGACCATCTCCATTTTTGACATCCGCAACAACCCGCTCAACATGCCGCTGCCGCGCTGGCTTCCGCAATGGTCCGCCATCCGCTCGCTCTCTCTGTCCAACACCGGCCTCACCGGCTCGTTCTACCCCGAGCTTGGAGCGATGGACAAGATCGCGGGCCTCGACCTCTCCATCAACCCCGATCTCCGCGGGACCATGCACCCCGAGTGGGGAGGCATGGCTGCCCTCGAGACCTTTGTCATCTACGAGACCGGCCTCTCCGGCACCATTCCGCCCGAGCTGGGGCAGCTCAAGGCGCTCTGGCTCTTTGTCATCACTTTTACCGACATCACTGGCACGCTTCCGCCTGAACTTGGTGACATGACCTCCATGTACCAGTTGCTGATCTACAATAACCCGGGCCTCTCTGGAACCCTCCCGCCCGAGCTCGGCAAGCTGCCCGGTCTCTCTGTCCTCAAGCTCTTCGCCAATAACCTGACCGGAACCATTCCTCCGTCGTGGGGCACTGACATGGCGGCCATGTACCAGCTCGAGCTTGGCAAGAATCACCTCGAAGGCACCATTCCCCCAGGCTTCCCTTTGCTCGCAAAGCTCAAGCTGGAGGAGAACCGCTTGGCCGGCGGCCTCGATGTGTTGTGCGACAAGCCGCAGCTGCAGACCGTCGATGTCTCGTCGAATGCAATCTCTGCCTTTCCTACCACCTGCGATGTCTATGTTAAGGAGCTCAATATGGCGTTCAACGCCTTTACTGGCGACATCCCGTCGGCCGAGCGCGTCCACGGCCTCGTCACACTCAAGGCCTCGCACAACCAGTTCTCCGGCGGCCTGCTTCCCAGCTCATGGGCAAAGCTCAACGACACGCTTGAATCGGTCGACTTTTCTCACAACGCGCTGGCCGGCCCGGTCTCGGCGTATCTGGACGTGCTCAAGCACGGCACCACGTTGGCCACCGTCGACTTTTCCCACAACGCCTTGTCTGGCATCCTGCAAGACTCGCTCTTCTATGTCGTCAATGACCACTTTCTTCAGGGCATGGTTCGCCTCTTCCTCAACGACAACGACATTACTGGGCTCATCCCCACGGTCTTCTCGCTCCTCCCGCACATCTCCGAGGTCGATCTCTCCAACAACAATCTCACCGGCTCGGCCTCACGCATCACCGACGACGGCGTCTCCATCCTCGACTTGCGTGGCAACGCCGGCCTTGGCGAGCCCGACCGTCTCTCGCTCCCGGACAACACCATTGCCGTTTATCCGCTCATTCAGCCGAACCCGGCCATTCCATACAAGTGCCCGTCGCTCACCGATCCTGTGACTCGAAGGCTCACTCTTTATCTCGACGAGGGCTACTACTCGGCCTCGCTCTGCGAGTGTCTACCCAACTACCACGGCTCGAGCGGCGTGTGCCTCCCGTGTGCCCATCTTGCGCCTGCAGTGACCTGCCACGGCGGCCGGGTCCTGCTCGACGTCGATGGCGCTGGCACTGCGCTTGTCTACCCTGCCAATCTTACCATCAATCCCGGGTATTTTGTGGCCTCTACTGCCGCCTCGGGCGCGCCTCTCATTGACCCATGCTACCCGATCGGCGTCGATGAGACGGCATGCAACCCGAGCGCTGGCTATCCGTTCACCTGTAGCGAGGGCTACGAGGACCGGCTATGTTCGCGATGTGCTCGCGGCCACTACCCGCAGGGCCGCCGCTGTCGCCGCTGCCCGCGCATCCTACCGACGATCCTGGCCATTGCGTACTCGATCGCGTTCTGCGTGTGGTACGCCCTCAATCAGACCGGTGTACGGTCAGTCGTCCTCGCGCCGCTCGTCAAGTCGATGTTCATCTTTATGCAGACCTCGTCGCTGCTCTTTGCTCGCTCGTCGGCCTTTGTGTGGCCGGCCTCGGTCACCACATTCTTCTCGGGTGTCTTTGGCTGGACTTCGGCCTCGGCCAACATCCTGACCTGCCTCGGAAGCTCAAACAATTCGTGGGAAACGGCGTTTGTGGCGTCGACGCTCGCCGTCCCGGTCCTGGTCATCTTCTGCTTGGTTGCCTACTGCCTTTTGGCCATCCTGACCAAGGTCTCGCTCAACGGCCTGTTTGGCAAGCCGGAAAAGCACTGGCGGTACGGTGGCATTCGTTCGGGCCTTGCTGTCCTCAACCTGGTGTACATGCCGATCACGGTCGGCATGCTCATGGTCCTTCCGTGCCGTGAGTCGGCCGACGGCAAGTCGTACCTCTGGGCTGCCCCTTGGATCGAGTGCACGTCGTCGTCGGCGACTTGGATTCGTCTCGTCGTCATCGGCGCTCTGTTTTCGGTCTTGTACGGCCTCGGCGTCCCGCTCGTCTTCCTCGTCCTCATGCGCAACCGAAAATCTCAGCTCAAAAGGCTCAAAGCGCTCAAGATCGCCGAGGTCGACGGCCACTGGTTCCAGTGGTTCTACGCCGCGTATCACGACTCTTGCCACTGGTTCGAGTTTGCCATCATGGCCCGGCGGCTGGCCATTGCCATCATCGCCATTGTGCCTGCAACCTCGCTCGCCGTCCCCATGGGCTTCTTTATCACCATTGTCGCCGCCATGCTCGTCCAGATCTACACCGAGCCGTTTATCTTTCCCACGCTCAACAAGCTGGAGCTCATCACCCTTGTCCAGCTCCTCTTCACCTTTGTGGCCGGGCAAGTCTTCTCATCGCGTATCCACGAGCGCGACCTCGCGTCATCGTCTGGCGTCCTCGAGGTCTTGGTCATCGGCACTAACGCCGTTGTCGTGGGCCTGTACATCTTTGTCATTGCCCGCGAGCTCCACAACCGCCGCGGCCGCCTCACCGGCTCGCCCGACGCCAAACTCATCAGCGTCAACCCCGGCGTCGGCACCGTACACAAGGAGCGCGCCGACCCGACGCCGCGCACGATTTCCGCACCCCACACACCGATCACACGCCCTGCTGTTCTTTCCGGCATTGCTAACCGGGAGTATACGTACTCGTACGAGTACTCGGAGGGCTACATCGACGACGAGGAGCAGGAAGAGGCCGACGCTGCCTGTGATTTGTTCCTTTCTTCTTCCTCGATCACGCCACCACCTGCATCGCTCACCACCACACCCTCGATCACGCGCGACGCTCTCGTCGCCGACCTCCGCTCGCTCATCGACGCCTCAAATGTAGCGCCCAGCGAACGACACGCGGTCCTCGCCTCGGTCCTCGCCACATGGCACGCTCCGCGGTAGCCATTGGCCGCTTCCCGCCACGAGCGTACGCAAATGAAAGAGCATTTCACATCGCCTACATTATACATCGTCCAACGACCACAGCCGCCACGACGCGTGACGACCTGCAGCTGCATGGATGCCAGACGTCCATGCCTGCCGCGACTGTGCCTCGGCGACAGCCTCGACTCCCGAGTCGAGACACTGCACTATCGATTGACACGCCCCGAGTCACATGGCCAAGGTCGTGATCTCGGGCCTCTCATGCCGATTCCCAGAGTCCGAAGATGCAGAGACGTTCTTTGCCAACCTTGTCGCTGGCACTGACATGGTCACCGCTGACGACCGCCGGTGGGTACGTGACGGCGGTGACGGGTGGCTTGTTGCCGGCCCTGAGGAAGGTCGAGGTCGCTCGCTGACGCCACCAAGAAGTGGCTGGGGCATCCCCCGCTGACCCAATGGAGTCGGGCGTGAAGGCGTGGACAGAGTCGCTGAGAAGAGCAGAGGTGAGCAGAGGTTAGAGACTCATGCAAGTTCTGTGTCGCGGTGGTGGTGGTGGTGATGACGTGGGCGGGCGGGTGGACAGGACATGGACACAATGGACGCGCGGTCACTGCCTGCGCGGTCAGGCAAGCTGCCGTCGATCGCCGAGTTTGACGCCAGGTTCTTTGCGGTGACAGGCAAGGCGGCGGACAAGATGGACCCACAGCTGCGGCTGCTGCTGCACGCCACCCATGAGGCTGTGACTGATGCTGGGTGGACGCTGGACGAGCTGGCCGGAAGCTCAACCGGAGTCTGGGTGGCAGGTTCGTTCTCGGACTCGCACTTTGACCTGCTCGAGGATGCCACCGCCATCACGGGCTACGAGCACACCGGGTGTCTGCTCAACATGTTCTCCAACCGCATTTCATACTTTTACGACCTTCACGGCCCGTCGCTCACGGTGGACACGGCATGCTCGTCCGGCATGGTGGCGCTGGCGATGGCGCTCGCCGCGCTGCGGTCCGGCGAGTGCGAGCGGGCAATTGTGGGCGGTGTCAACATCCAGCTCATCCCGACCCGGTCGGTCGCCTTTGACAAGCTCAACATGCTCTCGCCCGACGGAGCTTGCAAGACGTTTGATGCGTCGGCCAACGGCTACGTCCGCGCCGAGGGCATTGCTGCCATTGTCCTTGACGCTGCCGACACTGCCCGCAACGCTTACCTCGACCTCCTTGTTGCAGCATGCAACAACGACGGCTATACTCCGCAGGGCATCACCTATCCATCCAGCGATGCGCAGGTTGCACTCATTCGATCTTGCCTCGCCGCCGCCGGCGCGACGCCCGAAGACGTCGTCTATGTCGAGGCCCACGGGACCGGAACCCAGGCCGGCGACTCGGTCGAGGCCAACGCGCTCGACGAAGTGTTTGTCAAGCACGTGCTCAGCCGCTCGCCGGAGAACCCGCTGCTCGTTGGATCGGTCAAGTCGAACATGGGCCACTGCGAGAACGTTTCTGGTCTCGCCGGCATCATCAAGGTCTGCCTCGCTGCCCGCGCCGGCGTGCTTCCACCTAACCTTCACTACACCCAGCCGAATCCCAAGATCCCAGCGCTACTTTCAGGGACCATGCGAGTGGTTACCCAGCCGACGCCATGGCGCGGCGGCCTGGTTGCCATCTCCTCATTTGGCTTTGGTGGCACCAATGCACACGCTCTGGTGCGCGCCCCGCAGCCCGCACGAGCCGCTGACGACAGCGCCGACCAATCGACGGTGCCTCCCCCCACATGATGTATCCGCTGGCGTCGCGGACGCAGGATGGGCTTGCCGCGCTCAGAGCCGAGGTCGTCCAGCTCCTACAGAGCTACACCGGCGAGCTCGCTCGTCCGGCCGCACTGAGCGACCGGCTGGCCAGCCTGTTTGGCAGCGCGCCAGTGACTCGGTATCCGTTCCGGACTGGCCTCATATGGCCGCAGCAAGAGAGCGACGCCGGTGGCGCAGTCAAGCTGCGACCACCGGCGCCTGCTTCGCCGCTCACCCGCTACGCTTTTGTGTTCAACGGCATGGGCACCCAGTGGGCAGGCATGATGGCCGGGACTGCGCAAGCGTTTCCGGCAGTGGCGGCGGTGCTGGCCGAGGCCTCGTCAGCGGTGGCGCCGCTAGTGACGAGTGCGCCTGTGCATGTGCCGGCTGGTGCGGCCGACCTTGTTGCGCTGTTTGACACGCTGGACGAGGAGGCACTGGCCAATCCTGTGATAGGCTACCTCACGCTGACTGCTAGCCAGCTTGCGCTCACTGCGCTGCTGGCGGAGCTCGGGCTGGTCGCGCCGGCGGCGGTGCTTGGCCACTCGGCCGGCGAGATTGCCGCTGCTGCCGCTGCTGGGGGCTTGGACGTCAGGCAAGCGATGCAAGTTGCGTTCTGGCGTGGCGTGGCAGCGGCCGAGGCGTCGTTGTCTGCGCCGGGTGCCATGGCCGCGGTCGGCCTCTCCTGGGACGCCGCAAATGCGTTTCTGGCCGCTCACGACGAGCTCAGCGGCCAAGTCTGGTTGGCCTGCCACAACGGACCGACGTCGGTGACGCTGTCGGGCACCTGCGCTGGAATGGCGCAGTGCCTGGAGCTGCTGCGGAGCGACGATGTGTTTGTGCGCGAGGTCAATTCGTCGGGCGTTGCCTTTCACACGCCACTTGTGGCGAGTGCAGCCGAGAGCTTGCGGCAGAAGCTGGTGAGCGTGCTTTCGGCACCGGCTGCACTCGCGCCGTCGTTCATCTCTACTTCTGGCGGAGAGGCTGGCGAGTTTGCCGACGCCGAGTACTTTGTGCGCAACTTTGTGGCGCCAGTGGCGTTTGCGCCGGCGGTAGCCCAGGTTCCTGACCGCTGCTGCGTCATTGAGATCGGGCCGTCGTCGATCTTTGTCAAGCTGCTCAAGGCCATGACATCTGCGGGGGAGAGCCGAGTTGTCGGCCTCACGCGCAAGGGCGTCCGTGGCGACAGCGCGGTGCTGACTGGCGTTGGACAGCTGTATGCAGCGGGGTTGGATGCTCAGCCATTGCTGGAGCGACTGCCTCGCGCGATGGGTGGCGATGCCAGCGCGATGGTCGACGCTGCACGCCGACTGCCACTACACGCGCGTGTGCCGCGGCTGAGGACGCTTGTGGCATGGGATGCGCAGCCGTGGCACGTCATCCGGCACCGCAACGAGCGGCTTCCGGGCGCCGCACCCGAGTTTACTGTCAGCCTCGCGGACGACTCGCCGTTTGGCTTTGTGGCTGGCCATGTCATCGACGGGCGGGTCCTTTTCCCAGCCTCGGGCTACATTGCGCTGGCGTGGTCCGCGGTGCTGGCGCGGGCCGGGCGCGGGTCTGCCAGCGGCTGTAGCGTTGTGCCTGCGAGGCTCGACGGACTGGTTCCGGCGCTGGCTGCTCCGCTCGGTCCGCAATGCGAGGTGCCGGGCTTTGTGCTTTCGGACTTTGTCATTGCCCGGCCGGTAGTTGTGCCGAGCAGCGGCGAGGTCAAGATCCGAGTGTCGGTGCTGGAAGCGTCGGGCGCGTTTGAGATCGCGACCGAGGCCGGTGTTGTGGCAAGGGGCGTGCTGACGCTGGTCGAGAGTGATGAAGATGAGGCAAGCGAAAAGGTGTCGAATGGCGAGGCTGAAGAGTCCCAGTGGCTCGAGGCGAGCGACATCTACCGCGAGTTGCGGCTCAAGGGCTACGAGTACAGCGGCGACTTTGTGTCGCTGGCGCGGGCTGAGGGCGGCGGCACTGTCGGAATGACCAAACCGTGGCGCGGCTCGGTCTTTGGCGGCGTCACCGTGTGCTTGGATGCGGCGCTGCAGCTCGTGGCGCTGGCGTCGAGCGATCGGCAGCTGCGGGTGCCAACACGTGTCCGAGAGCTGCGGGTGGCCCCGAGCGCTTTGGCGGAGGCGATGCTTGCTGGTGGCTGGCGGATGGCCCGTGACGAGGTCTTGCGTGGTGCGACCGCGCCCGGCATGTCTATGGCCGGCTTTTGCTGGGCTTCCGCTCCGCGAAAGAGCGGCCAGCAACCGCGTGTCGACGGCGTCGTGCGAGTGGCGCTCAACGGAGCTCTAGGCTCACGCACCACGAGCGCCGCCGGTCTTGGGCTGGCGCTGAGCGTGGTGGCACAGGATGCCGGGAGCGAGCGTGGCCGCCCGCTGGTACTGGCAGTGGCGATGGATGAAGAGTGTCCTGAGGTGAGCAGAGACGAGGTGGCGAGTGCAGCGCTGACCTACGGCCTTGTGGTTGCCCGCCCGGTGGCGAAGTTGACCGAGGCCGAGCCGGGCGAGACGACGGTCTGCTGGGTTTCGGACGCGAACGCGCTCAGTGGGTGCGATAGCGCCGCAGGGTATGCTCTGACAACCGCCAGTGTTGGCGAGAACGAGCTAGCGCACTGGCGTCTGTTGTGCGCACTGGCTAGCAGCGATGGCACGGTGTGGCGGGCATGGGCGCGGAGGGTGGGCGAGCCTGCGGCTACGGTCGACGTGAGTACCGAGCTGGCGGAGTTGGGCCAGTTTGAGTCGTGGCGCGAGTCGCTACTGAGCGCGGCCGAGGGTACCGAGAGCGAGAGCGTGGTCCGAGTTGTTGTCAACGCCGAGGCCGGTGGGGTTGGGCTTGGACGCTGCGTGCTGAAGGAGGCTGGGCTGTTGCGGTGGGCGGCGCGGGTGCTGTTTGTGGTCAAGCCGAGCGAAATGAGCGCAGCGGAGGCACTTGCGGTCGTTGATCGCGGGCCGTGTGTCTCTCGCGGCGTTGTTGAAGTCGACAGCAAGGCCCGTGTATGCGTGCGGCGGCACATTCCGCTCGACGAGAGCGCCGAGCCTTGTGTGCCGGTGGCTGCTGTCGACGGGCGAGTGCGGGCTGTTGTTGACGTGGCGACGCGCGGGCAACTCTCATCGCTGGGGTGGTTTGAGTCGCCAGAGAGCGAGAGCAGCCCTGCCTCGGGGCTTGCTGTTGATGTTGCGTACGGTGCGCTCAACTTTAAGGATGTGATGCTCGCGTCGGGTAAGCTGAGCAAAGAAGTTGCCGGGTACGGGCTGTCTGGCGGCGAGCTTGGATTTGAGTTTTCCGGAACGGTTGCGGGCGGCGGCATGCGGCGTGTTATGGGACTCGGGCGGCGTGCGCTGGCGAGCCGTGTGGATACCGACGAGCGGTTTGTGTGGGAGGTTCCTGCTGGGATGAGTCTGGAAGAGGCGGCGACGGTGCCTGTGGTGTATGCTACGGCATACTATGCGCTTGTTGTGCGCGGGGGTTGAAAGCCGGCCAGAGCGTGCTCATTCACTCGGGCTCGGGTGGAGTGGGCCAGGCTGCTATCCGGATTGCCCTTGCGCGTGGCGCGCAGGTCTTTACCTCTGTGGGTAACAACGCCAAGGTGGCGTTTCTGCTGGAGCGCTACCCGGCGCTCGCTGTGGAGCACGTTCTCCACTCGCGGTCGACGGCTTTTGAGCGGGCGGTGCTGGAGGCGACGAACGGGCGAGGAGTTGACCTGGTTCTCAACTCGCTTGCCGGCGACAAGCTTGCTGCGTCGCTGCGGCTTGTAGCGCCGCACGGCGCGTTCTTGGAGATCGGCAAGTATGACTTGATGATGGACACGCAAGTCGGGCTCGGGGCATTTGTGCGGAACACGGCGTTCCATGGCATTGACCTCGACCAGGTGATGAGCGACGAGGCGCTTTGGGCGCCTGTACACGCGCTGGTGGTCGAGGGTCTGGCGAGCGGCGAGGTGGTCCCGCTGCCGGCAACGACGTTTGCTGCCGGCGAGGTCGAGGCTGCCTTTCGGTACATGGCGCGTGGGAAGCATGTGGGCAAGGTGCTACTGGAGGTGAGCGAGGCGGCGAACGGAGGCGTGCCTGTCACTGCCGGGCTCCCGCGCGTGCTCTCGACCGCCAACACGGTGCTGATCTCCGGTGGGCTTGGCGGAGTGGGCCTCGAGCTCGCGCGGTGGCTGGTGTTGCGATGCGGGGTGAGGCGGCTTGTCTTGCTGTCGCGACGTGGGGTTCAGAGCCGGTGGCAGGTGCGGGCGGTGCAGGGCCTTGAGGAACTGGGAGCGAGCGTGGCGGCAGTGGCGGTGGACGTGACCGATGCGGAGGCGGTTGAGGCGCTGATTGCGGGCGAGGCAAGTGGGATCGACGGCGTGTTCCACCTTGCGGGCGTGCTTGCTGATGGCGCGCTGGCCAACACTGGGGCAGCTCAGGTCGAGGGAGCATGGGCGGCCAAGGTTGAGGGAGCGCGTGTGCTGAGCGAGGCTGTGGGAGGCACCGCAGCCTTTTTCGTTGCGTTTTCATCTGTGGTGGCCGGGCTGGGCAACGCCGGGCAGAGCGCGTATGGGCTTGCCAATGCGGCGATGGAAGAGGTTGTGGCGGCGCGTGTTGCAGCCGGATGGCCCGGTCTTGCGATGCAGGTCGGCGGTGTGGCCGGCGTGGGCATGCTCGAGGGGTGGCCGACACCGGGCGGTTCCTCGTGGGTTTGCAGTCTGCCGAGTCTGTGTTTGAGGGCGTGGCGCAAGTGCTGGGGCGGAGTGCAGCGCCGACGATTGCGGCATGCTTTGTGCCTAACGTAGTGGTGTCGGAGGCTGCTAGCGGCCGCGGCGACGAGGATCTCGGCGATGCGGTTGCGCGGATTCTGGGCTTTAGCTCTGCCTCGCAAGTCGACGAGCATGTGGCGCTGCAGGAGCTGGGCATCGACTCGATAATGGTGACCGAGCTCCAGAGCGTACTGTCTGAGCAGTTTGGCGTTGACGCGCCCCTGGCGGAGCTTGCTGGTGTCACGCTCGCGGAGCTGCGGGAGCGGGCGACAAGCATTGGATCGCGGCCGGCCGCTGGCGGACGGGCAGGAGAAAAGGGGATAGAGGTCAACAAGCCCGAGCATGAGCCAGAGCACGAGCATGAGCTGGAGTCCGAGCCAGCGGCAACGGTCGCGCAGGCTACATCGCCCTCAGCAGCACACCCGATTGTGGACAGCGGTCGCGATGAAATTGAGGCTGAGGCCGAGGCTGAGGCTGACGCTGAGGCTGAGGCTGAGGCCGAGGCTGAGGCTGAGGCCGAGGCTGAGGCTGAGGCCGAGGCCGAGGCTGAGGCCGAGGCTGAAGCTGAGATTTGCGGCGAGTCGGCGATCATGGGCCTCGGCTGGGCGGTGCCAACGACGTACTTTTCGGCCGACGAGTTTGTGGAGAACGTGGTGGAGCTGTTCGAGATGGCAGACGTGGACGCGGCGCGGCTGAAGCGGATTGTGGCCAACTCTACGGTGGAGGGGCGGTTCACGGTCATTCCAGACTGGCGAGCGTTTTTCAACAACCTGGAGAAGGAGGCGTCGGCCAAGGTGGAGGAGCGCGTGGCGTTGTACAAGGCGCACGCGCCTCAGCTTGCGGCGCGGGCGGCGCGGGCGGCGGTGGCCGACTGGGGCGGCGAGCTCTCAGAAATCACCCACGTCATCGGAGTCTCATGCACCGGGATGCTCAATCCAGGGCTGGCGTACGAGGTGATTCAGGAACTCGGGCTCGAGCCGACGACGCAGAGGTTGTCCGTGCTGATGATGGGATGCTTTGGTGGGCACTCTGCGCTCAAGACAGCGCGGGCGATTGCGGCACTGGACCCGTCGTACCGCATCCTCTGCGTGTGCTGCGAGCTGTGCACGTTGCACATGCAGCTCGATCCGCGGGTGGACAACATTGTGGCGGCGGCAATTTTTGGCGACGGCGCGTCTGCGGCGGTGGTGGGGGCGTCGGCAGGAGTGCGTGCGTCAGAGCGGGTGGTGTACGAGATCCTCGCCACCGAGGCGTTCACAATCCCGGGCACGCGCGACATGATGACATGGAATGCGTCTGCGGACGGAATGGTGGTCGAGCTCTCGGCGGACATCCCGTCGCAGATTGAGGGCTCGGTGGGCAACTTTGTCGACTCGCTGCTGGCCAAGGCGCTGCCGGGCCGGGCCGGACCGTATCCGCTGGCGTCGATGCGGTGGCCGCTCCACCCGGGCGGCATCGCCATCATCAAGGGCATCGAGCGGACGCTCGGGCTCACTGCGGAGCACACGGCATCGTCGCGGGCGGTCCTCGCGCGGCAGGGCAACGTTTCGTCGGGCACAGTCATCTGCGTACTCGACGAGGAGCGCCGGGCAAGCGGGGCGAGCGGCGATGGGCAGCTCGCTGTCTCGCTCTCGTTTGGCCCGGGCCTGTGCGTGGAGGGACTTGTGCTCAAGCTGCGCAACGCTTGACGCTTTTTTCGGACGCCTACGCCAACGTGAAGCAGAGCACCGCCAAGCGCTGGGGAGGGCGTGGGTAATAGTAACAAACGCTTGAGGCATGGGCAGTGTGGCGGCCGAGGCGTTTGCAGCTGCGGCGAGCGGGCGGAGCGAGGCGCTGGTGGCGTTGGCCGCCGGCGACGTGCCGCTGGCGACGCTGCGCGACACGGCTGGACGGACGCTGCTGCATGCGGCACTGGCAGGTGGGCACGTGGTAGCAGCAAGTGTGCTCATGGACGCAGGCTGCTCGCTGACAAGCCGCGACGCAGCGGGGCGGACGCCTGGGCTGGAGGCGGCGCTGGTGGGGCGCGGGGCAGCGCTCGCGGAGCTGCGGGCGATGCGCGGCGGCGGGGCGTGCTGCGATGGGCATGGGCATGGGCATGGGGGTGGGAGCGGCAACGAGCATGGCATAGAAGGCGCGGATGGCAAGAGAGGTGAGAAAGGAGGGAGTGGATGGGGCTTTCCGCTGGCGTATGCGGTGATTCTGGTGGTTGTGCTGGGCGTGTTCTACGGTGAGGCGCTGCCTGCGCTGCCATCGGCGTGGATGGGGTGGGCAGTGGCGGCAATGGTGGCGGTCCAGATCGGGTGCTACGTGGCGGCATGGCAGATGGATCCAGGCTGGATTCGGCCCGAACAAGGCAAGCAGGGCGGGCTGGCGGGCAGGGAACCGGGTTGGAGCGTGTGCCCGGTGTGCGGGGTGAATCGGCCGGCGCGGACGCACCACTGCTCCAAGTGCCAGGTGTGCGTGACCGGGTTTGACCACCACTGTGTGTGGCTGAACAACTGCGTGGGGGAGCGGAACTTGATCCCGTTTCTGGGCTTTGTGGTGAGTGTGGAGGCTGCGGTTGCCATGGTGTTGGTGTGGACCGGCGCGGGCGTTGTGCTCGACGAGGCTGCGCCAACAGGAGCGGTAGCATGGTTGCGGTACACGTGCTCTGTGCATGTGTATGGCGTGTTTGTAGTTATGCTGTGTGGGCTTATCCTGGCGTGGATCTCGATTCTGTTGTACGACCAGGGCCAGGGACTGGTTCTCAACGCGACGGTGTACGAGCGGTCACGGCAGTGGACCGAGGCCGAGGTCGGGCAGGCGCTCCTTGTGCTGACGTTTGGCGAGGCGATGCGCAATGTGCGGGCGCGACTGAGCGGGTCTCATGTGGCTGGGCGGCCTGCGGGGCGGAGCGCAGTGTGAACGTAAAGATAGGGCGGGATCAGGCGCGGGTCTTGCGGCGCTTTGTAGCCGACGGCGGCTCGTCTGCAGCGCGCTTGCGCGAGGCGGCGAGTCGTGGGTCGGCCTTGACAGCAGCATACAGGTCTGCGACAAGGGCGCGGGTGCGATCGAGTTCTGCGGCCATGGGGCCCGTGTGCGGGGCGAGGGCAGCGCGGAGAGCGTCGAGGTCGAGCGCGTCGACAAGGGCGGCGAGGCCAGAGTGGTGCGCGGCCGAGGCGCGGAGGGCCGAGACGGCAGACTCG